GGAGGAGCGGCAATGGTGGTGCAGAAGCCGGTGCCACTAATACTGGAGGAGCCACTAATACTGGAGGAGCCACTAATACTGGAGGAGCCACTAATACTGGAGGAGCGGCAAATGGTGGTGCAGAAGCCGGTGCCACTAATGCTGGAGGAGCCACTAATACTGGAGGAGCCACTAATACTGGAGGAGCCACTAATACTTGAGGAGCGGCAAGGTGCAGGAGCCGGTACCAATGGGCGAAAACGTGAAGTCGAGCATGCACAAGCTATTGTCGTTACTAAAGCCAACTTCAATCCGAAAATGAATCCAATCTACATGAGTGCCGTCGGATACACGGTTAGCAACACAGTACCATCGAAGCAGAGCTAAGACCATTTTTGCTCCTGCCCCTTCCCTTCTTCTCAACCCTTGACACTAATTGACTATTATTGCATGCGATCAAAATAATTTAGATTGAGCAGCATGCGTACGAACGCGGTCTCATCCACAACCACGACATGATTCACGAGGAAGCAATGAACATAGGCGGCAAATTCGCCGTGGTCTTCACCATTCTTGATGTGGACTGTGACCAGGTATACACCATAGCATTCGCAGACCCATTGGTCATTGTACTGTATAATAACACGTCATTAGATGGCCCCGACTGGAGATATCTTTAGAATTTTCTGAAAATTACTCATTAGAAGCCACTGGAAGAATGTGTGCAGGTGTAATGGCAGTAGAAATCCAAAACTGCCGGAATTTCCACATTACTGCCACTAAAGCATACTTCAGTTTTTCACCATGAAAAATTGCTGGGCTAACTGTTCATATTTGTGTGTATGGACATCATTATTTTCAGTTGAAGGAATTCGCTTCAACAGCTAAAGAGATGTCAACTCTCATTGAGCATGCTATAGTCAACTGCGGTGCCAAATCAACAGTTCTATAGTTATACAATTGTAACAGAACTTTTAAATAAATCTTCAAATGATCTGTGATGTATCCTTGTGCAATTTATATGCTCATTTTTCATTTATCAATTTTTCCCAGATAGAGTCTACTAGCGTGCTGTGCTATTTCTATTTTATTAGGTTGTCTCATAAATAGTGTCGCTTTTTTTCAACCAAAAAATTTTCATCTAAATCCCCATGCTTTTACATCGTGTCATATACCATTCGAAAGAGAATTGTCTGCTCTACAAGATGCTATGTTCCACTTCCACCTTTGTTCCAGGGTTTTCAAATTTTAGGCCTGCGAAATGGGAGGTCCAGCCGACAAAAATTGACCAAACCGACAACTATCTCTAACTTTATCTTTCCCTTGGGAGAAATCAATCAATGATGTACCTTCTACTTATGCATGACCTCTTCTAATCATTACACTAATAGGTTTCCCAACAAGTCTCGTCATTCCATTTCCAGTCCTGGCTT